CTTACTCATGCTTACTTATCCTCATTCATCCATACTTATCTTCGCTTATACTGGCTTGTGCTGGCTTATACTTACTTATGCTTACTTATGCTTACTCATGCTTACTCGTGCTTACCCATGCTTACTCATACTTACTCATACTTACTCATACTTACTCATGCTTACTTATCCTTACTTATACTCACTTATGCTTACTTCTCTTATACTCACTGACTTGCTACCGACTTACTTACTTAGTTACTGACTTACACAAGGCCCGCCCGTAAGTGAAACGCCCCTGCAATAGCTTTCGGCGCTGCTCACACCATTGAAGGCGCTCCTCCCTCGTTCGGATGCCCAAACGCTCGTTGCGCCGGCGAAAAGACAACTCCTTCCAAATAGGAAGCGCGTTCGTGTCGTTGTCATTGGCTCCAGATCCAGAAGCAGCCGCCGAGCTGGAGGGGCCTGCGGGTAGTCCTGCGGATGCTCCGCAGCTTGACTCTCCTGCCTGATCCTGCTCCTCCGTTTGCTCTATCGTCGTAGTGGTCGCGCTCGCTGGCTCTTCTTGTTCAATAGCGCGCTGGCACTCAGCTGCCTTGTCTTTGAGCGTTTGCACCTCCGTGGCCGCAACGGCAGCTTCCTGGAGAGCTTCCGGCGACATCGACGGGATGACCCAGCCAGAGGATGTAGAGCCCGTTGCTTGCTGCACACCACAAGCAGCCTTTCGCCTCAACCGGTACCGCGCCACTTCTCCGGGTGGTTTGTTTAGCTGCCTAGCTACCTCATCGACTGACGCGTGCTCAAGCAGCGAGTCCATCTTGTTGCAGAGGTGAGGGGACCACTCGCTCTGGCGGTCTCGCTTTCCTGAAAGAGCCACCCCGAGAGCATACCGGCCCATTCCTGATCGCACAGCGTATTCCTCTAAGTCATCACCACAAGCGTCCAAGTCGCAATCTTCTACGTCCCATTCATGAACGAGCGACCTCTGTACGCTCGTGCGCGGGACACCCCTACGAATCGCCTCA